GAACTTGGCCATTATTAGTGACCACAGACCTGAAGGGAAAGGGGGGACCCCAAGTGCTTTAGCCTAGTGCTTCTCTAATGTGTGTATCAGAATCAACTGGAGAGCCTGTTAAAACAGCTTTCTGGGCCCTGCCCCAGAGATTCAGTTGGTCCAGAGCAGAGTATGCATTTGCATTTCTCCTAGGTGAGGCTGCAGAAACAGGTCCGTGGCTATACCTTGAGGAACATTGCCCTCTTTGCTAATCACAGTGTGTGCAAGGCGTAAGGGCGAGAGAGCTTGGCTTGTCCAGGGAAATATTTGGTGACACTAGCGTTAGTATGACTGCCAGAGATTTAGGAGGAAGCTAATCATGAAGTTTCTAAAGAATATGCTGTTTGGAAAGACAAATACCATATGATTTCACTTATTTGTGGAATATAAAAACAAAGCAAAACAGAAGGAACAAAACAGCCTTAAGACTCATAGACACTGAGAAGTGACTAGTGGTTACCAAGGGGGGCGGGAGCGGGAGGGGGACTGTTGAACCACTGATGGCATTTGATGAAATTTAAAAAAAAAAGTTTAAGATGGTAAAAAAAAAAAATGCTGAGTTTACCCAAAAAGAGTTAACTCATTTACCCTGAGTGCAATGGGAAGCTACCTAACTAGGTATACAAATATCTAGGGGTCCCCGGGTAGTGGGATGGCAGAGACAAGATCTCAACGGTTTGCTCCTGGGGCTCTGGAAGGTCAGCATGGTGATAGTGCCCCACTGTGGGCACCAGAGTGGGCAGGAGGCTGGAAAAGGGCTGAGAATGAGGGCAGAGAACACTTCTGTGCTCACCCTAAGGCAAGGTCAACCCTGGAGGAGCTGTAGTTCAAAGGCCCGTGATGACTGTGCTAATGTTATGTGTCACCCTTGAGGGTGTTTTTAGGTGAACTAACAGTTATATCAGTAGACTTTTATTTAGTAGATTGCCCTCCCATCATGTGGGTGGGCTTTGTCCCATCAGTTGAAGGTTGATTAGAATGAAAAGATGGACTCCCCTGGGTTGTGAGCCTGTTGGCCCACACTGCAGATTTGGGACTTGCCAGCTTTCATAATCACATGAGTCAGTACCTTATAATAAATCTAGAACCCAACACATTCATCTTACTGGTTCTTTAAAAACAGATGAATCCTATCTTTCAGGGTCTAAAGGCTGTTGGAGCCTGTTTTCAAACAGCTATCCTGAAGTTCCCAGGGAAATAAAGCATGGCTCTGGAGTTGAGATGAGCTGAACAGCTGGTGACTTTTACTCCATCAGTGTTTCTTCCGCTCTCCCAGGGGAAGGCTGGGCACATGCCCAGTCAAGACACTAAGCAGGAGGGGTGGTTAACTGCCCCTTTCATCAACTATGGCTGCTTGAGAAGAATGCTTACACCAGGGGGACATCCAGGCTATCCTTTGTTGGGAATCCTTCCCAGAACGTAGAGATGTATGAGGAGTCAAAAGACCAGGTCTTCTTTGACAACATCCAGGAAGTATGTCCACTTGTGTGCTTGTCTCGTAAGTGCCTTGTGTTGTGGAGCTCAGTTTGGGAGAACTGAAATGGGCTTTTCAAAAAACAAGCTAATTTGGAGGTCATATGGGGGTGCTATATAATAGTTTGCTAAACTGATGAATTCCCACTGAGGTTTCTTGAACATTCTTCTGCCTGCAAAATAGCTGAGGGACTAGGCAAGCCACTTATTATGTCTGGCATGTTTCTCCCACCTGTGAAAGGGGAGTGGTGGTGTGGAGGGCAGGACAGATCCAGTTCTGAGGCAGCCACCATTTCTAAAATCTGGTTCTAGAAAAAGGATCAAATAAATTTTTGTTCCTGCATAACTTGGCCAGCATGGGTCCTGATATTTGACAGCAACATTTCAGAGACTCAAGAGCAAAGCACTTTACTTGCTCCTTAAAGTGGCTAGAAATGGAACTGCTGTTCAGAATGGGTGTAAAGTCTTTTGCACAAACACATACACACATTACTCTTCCAAATTTCAGTTTAGCTTGGCACTGTGCAGTGAAATGTTTCTTTTGTCTTTATTTAAACATAAAGAATTTGAAGAATGAGAGTCAAGCTGTCCAAAACTTAACATTTGTACTAGGCTGACGTAAAACTGGAACAACTGCCTAAATTTAAAATTTTGTGTTCAAAAGTATCATATTCTGATTGACTTTAATGGAAAAATGTAAGTGTAAATAAAACATAAAACTTAGGGAGGGATTGGAGGGAAAAGTTTCAGTTGTTATAAAGTTTGAAATCCAATGCTGTAAGGAAAGGCAATGTTGCTTACCTCCCAGGATAAAAGGGTGGTAGCTCTCATCCTTATAAAGTTATGTTCCTGGAAAGGGGTGTCCTCCCCAGGTCCCCTGGGCAGAGGTGGGGGGAGGATGCCAAGGACGGAGTCAAAAGGTCTGTCGATTCCAGAGTGGGAGGCGCCACGAGGCTTACTGGTATGTGTTTTTCCAAGTGCAAAATGCTTGTCACTGTATTGTGAGAAATCAACTTCTATTAGCCTCTTAATCCTAAAGAATTAGATGCTATGGGAATTGTTCTCCTGCTGTAGCAAACAAAGGGAAAACAGGATTTTAATCCCTGGATGAATAGAAATGAAATAATGTCTACAATTGTCCCAGTTTACTGCCAGGAAGCAGTAGTCAGGCCACAATTCAATAACAGGAACCAAACAGAGTCCATGAGAAGAGGAGAGTTCAAAGTTCACGGAGGCCCAGATGGCTAGAATTTGTAGGGCAGATTACTGGGGAGGAGGGAGCTACAGAGATCTGCAGAGGGGGCCCCTTAAGTCTTGGTTGGAATAGTAATCTGCACATGCATGAGAAGGAACCTCTCAAGGCCAGGAGAGAACCACCTGGAGTTCTATGAATAGTTTCCTTCTGTCAGAGGAAAGACCTCATAATATACAGGAATTGGGCAGAATTCTCAGAATACTGCCTTCATAGTGGGGCTAAATTAGCCCTAAATTAAGGGCTGCTTTAGACCCACCTGAGAAAGCCTGAAAACAAGGGTTGAAAGGATCAAACCGATCACGAGTACTCGCATGCGATATCCCACTGCTCTTTAAAAGAATACAGAAGCCAGCAGCCAACAGTGTGCATTTCACTATGCTTGGCATTCAACAAAAAATGATCCGACTTGCTAAGAAGCAGAGAAATAAGACCCATCCATGATTTGGAAAGATAAATCAATCAGTAGAAACAACCCTAGGAATGTCTAAGATGGTGTTATGCTATAGCAGACCGGAGCCTTAAATGACTATGAATGTCTTACACTATGTGTAAGTATATAAAGCAGGGGTAAAGTACAACCTGTGGGCCAAATTTGGCCCCCTGCCTGTGTTTGTAAATAAAACTTTATTGGAAACAGCCAAGCTCATTCACTTATGTGTCATGAATTTGCTGCTGCCATGCAATAATGGTAGAGTAGTGACAAAGACTGCAAAGGGGTGCAAAGCCGAAAATACTTATTATCTGGTTCTTCAAACCAAGTTTGCTGACCTCTGATGTGAAGGAGAACATGAACCTGAGGAGGGAACTGGAAGATGTGGAGAAAGATTCAAACAAAATTTGAAGGATGGGACATATACAGTAGTTGAAAAGTATACTGGATGGAAATAACATGAAGATGCATCTGTCCCTAATCTTTGTTTTCAAAGAAGCTTATCATCTGGTCAGGGGAGGCTGACTTCCTTGACAACAGATGGGCAGGAAAAAGGGGAGTGTGGCTGGGTTAGAAGAACAGAGCAGTTTGCAATTCCAAATTTCTGGAATTAAGGTGCATACCACATTAAAACACCTCACCAAAGGCTTGATGGTATTTTGCCTCGACTGGCTCAGGAGGCAGGAGGACAGGCATACAGTGGCTAGCACCCCCTATCCCAGGCAGGGGTGTGGCTGATGATGGCAGCCACGGTTTCCGCTCAGCAGTGGCTCTGTGACAGCACACGTTCTAGCTCCTCGAGCCCACACCACTCATCAGTTACGCACTTTGCTATCTGATTTTGGGCAACAGTTCAGAGCTAAGCCACCCTCAGAAATACATTTTTTAAAGTTCATTATTGACTGAAACCATGAATCCTCAGCATGAATGTCTAATTTCACGCCATCTCCACAAACAGTGTAAGAGATGTACTGCTAATGTTTATGCATGCGGCACTTACCATGAGCCAGGCACTATGCTAAGGGTTCCACCTGGATTTTACTCATTATGGTGTAAATAGAATTCCCCCAGCCCCGCTCCTTTCTGAGGAAAGTAAAGCAAAGGGAGATTGAATAACTTGGACAAGGTCATACAGCTAGTCAGTCAGGATTCAAACTCAGGCAGTGTGACTCCAAGACCCGCCCTCTGGACGATTAGAGCAGCTCCTTTGGAAAGCGTCTGTTCTAATGCCTGACAACACACTTGGCAATTAATACGTGGGACTGCTATTCATGATCCCACATTTTAATAGGATACTGGAAAACTGAAAAGTTGGATTCTATTCCCTCTCCCCCAAATTAGGGAATAAAATGGCTTAAGAAAATAATACAATCAGATGCAGAAATTAAATTTTTTCATACATCTTAAGATTTCATTGGCTCCTTAAGCAACTATATATTTAGTATCTTTGGAAACATAGACATTTGGTCCTTTCACTTTTCCTGGTCTGCTTCCCTGTCCTGCTAACTCCAGTACTAGGGATCTCATCACTAAATTCAATTTCTCCAAATGAAGCCAAAACAATGCATGTGGCTATGAGAGAATTCACAAATTCCTGTCTTCACATTCTCCTAGTTGTTAAGTTCTGATGCAAAAAATAAAAATGTTTTTGGTAAGGCAATTATTTATTAGTCTGGCAAGCAAAGATAGAACCAGTTGGAAGATATGTCAATTTGCTGCGGTCAGGAGTGTAATGCATCACAATTCTTCTACCAACAGACTTTTAGTAGCATGACCTAAGAGGATAACACATGAAGAAACACAACAACTGCATTATTTCAAAGTGTATATTTAATGGCCATTCCATCAAAATCAAGCAGAATCACATTTCAAAAGTATTATACATATGTAAGTGTTTTTCAGAAGGGGCATTTCCAAGTTTTATTTGGGCTTCCTTTCTTCTTGGCTCTTGAGGGGTTCTAGCAGATACAATGAACAGAATGTTCTGAGGCTGATAGTTTCTCATGCAGTTTAACATCTCATGCTAGCAACACCGCTTATCTTGGATACATTAGAAATTTCAAAATCCATGTGTAATTTCAGAAAACTTAATACCAGTCATGAAAGATGTTTTCAACATCAAAACTTAGGCACTCTATACTTTGGAATAGCCACAAAATATTCCAACAAGAGTTAATGCACTTTGTGATTACATCTACTCAAAGATAATTTTCAATTAAAATCTATACTAAATAGCATCTTAAATTAGAGACCATTACATTTTGATAATTACTGTGGACCATTCTGCAGCTTGTATGTTAATGCTGAACTACTTCTATTACTGATTCTAGTACTCCTCATCCTTCATGGTGCATTTTTTACAGAAGAACTGAGGACATTTACTGATAAGCATCTCCTCCTTTTCCTTCTAATAGCTGAATAAGAATGCCCCTAACCAACTTTGTTCTTGTATTTCCACAGTTGTTTTCTTAACATGCACAACTTCAGCAAATGGGAAAGCTCCATGGAGCCCAGGAAACATTAGCCAAGGAGCCATTGCTGATTCCTGGGCTCAGTAAATCTGCAAGGTCACTCTGGCTAAGCACATTGCTCTGCCCATGTTCCTACAGTCACTGCTGCTAGACTGCCCAGTTTGGAGCCAAGGGGAAAGATCCTCAGGTTTGTCACTCCACTTTGCACAAGGCCAAGGCCACCCAGACCTTATCTGGGTTGAGGCAAAACTTGCTGATCTCTGGAGAATGGTTCCGGGTCTTCCAACTCCTCATCCGAAGACTTGGGGAGGGAATGACACCTGCCTATTGAGATGCCATTAACTCCAGGTGGACTTCCTGGACTTGAACATAATTAAGCTTTGTTAGAATTCACAATATGGATGGTGATTTTTCCTCCTGAGAAAAGGTGCATTTGCTCATTGGTATAAATTTATATAGCTAGGAAAACAATTAGAAAGGCTTTCAGAACCGCTAGATTCCAGTATGCAGATCGGCTCATCACGATCACCAATGGCTAACTTAGACCAACCCAGAGAGATGAATGTGAGGCACATGCGCCTGCGAGTTGCACAGAGGGGGGCATAGAGAGCTCCCACAGGAGACTCTGGTGTGTCACCATGGGGATCGCTGGTGAGTTAATTACACTGCTAATGTTTTCTGGCATACTTGATGAGACAATTAACACAAGTAAATCATGAGAGAGATGACAAGTTGCTTAATGTTTTTTCTGTTCATCAGATGACATCTGAGGTTGCTGTTAAGCTTCTGTATGAGTAGGGATAGGGAGGGAAGGGCATAAAGAATGAGAGGTTGTTAACTTCAGCTTCAGCAAATATAATCAGAACCAGTTACTACTGGTTGGTAAACACGGATGTTGAATGCAAAGGAGAGAAGACACCTTCAGGTTTTAGAAATTAACCTCACCAAGAGGAGAAAGATGCTGGGAAACATTAGGGAGATGACTGTTGATGTGGGAAATTCATATGAAATCTGGGCCATCTCTCCTGAGCAGAAGATGAGATGTAAGAGTGATGTGGATTTTAGTTGAAGTTGCTTTTCATCCTCTCAGAACTTCACCTTCCTATGGATGTTCTACAACAACATCTACCTTGTGATCAGGTCCCAAGGCTCATGACAGCACAGTTAAAATTACAGTCCCTCTCTGGCATTTTAGAATGGCCACAGCTTGCTCATGAGTGACACCTTCCAGGGTCTCACCATTGACAGCTAATATCTGATCACCTCGCTTCAATCGGCCATCATCTGCAGCTGCTCCCTACAAACAAGAAACGTTGCAGTTCAATCCAGGGTAAAGTGATTACTACTGAAATAATATATTAACATTACGTTGTACGTATTAAAAGAGTAACTTTAAAAACTACCAATTAATGTTATTTCTAGGTAATGTTTTTAAATGAAGAAAGTTAAGAAAAATGTAGCATGTTATTTGAATAATGGTTGAATAATAATGTTACATAATTATGCATTGTTTAAATAACATTGGTAGAATGTACTGACATTCACATTTCTTTTCATACAGGCAGGACCTTATTTCAATATTCAGTACTGAATGGAATCTGAATGTCATATCAGGTCATATTCATGAATATGTAATATACCAACAAAGGCAGAACTGAATCTGGTGTTAGTCTTACTGCCAACACCATCATTATATAGGGTTCCTGTTGCATTACTAAGCTATCAGCACTGTGGTGATCTGTCAAAAATAAGTGTTTAAATAGGTGAATTATATGGCATATGAATTATGTCACAATAAAGCTGTTCTATATATAAACACGCAAAGGTGTAGCATCTCTAAAATTTTGCAGTTTCATATTCAAAAGCTTCAGCTTTATCTTTGATCATGTAGATAGGTTTCTAAATGACTACTTTCATTATATCCTCAGTCATTCATGGCTCCGCAAAATGGTACAACAAAGCAAGTAAAACTTGGTAGCCTTTTTTCACTCTAAAGCTGAATATCTGAAAATGCCACAATATTACTAGAAATATTTTAGACAGGCAAGGAAAGAAAAGATGTAGAAAATGATTTACAGGAAGCCTGCTCCACCTGTTGGGGTAACTGCAAAAATCCCTTGAAAAGCTAGTGCCAGAAAGTCCTCTAGATGATGCTGAATGACTGGAACGTTAATGAAGGCTCAAGGCACCTAGTCCCTGAGTGACTCATTTGGAAGCTGAGCTAAGAGGCAGTAATGCCCCAGAGACCTGTGTCTACCTACTGTGCGGAGATCCTTGAGTTGGTGGGGAATTATCTAGAATTTGAGAACTATGAAAAGGTGGAATTCCTGTACATAGGTGTAATAAAGGATATTCAAAACCAGGTCTATACTGGGTTGGGGGGAGAATACCAAAATTAAGTAACTCACAACTTTAGTCAACCTTTTTTTTCTTTTAATAGAGTGTGTTAACTGTGCTAAAGGATTAAACAAGTAACTCTAACGGATAAAATCAGAATCATGTGGCTAACTTGATTTTACTAAATTTTACATGCTAAGATTTAAGGACTTCAGTAAACCTCAGATAGCTCTATGGTTTTTTTAAGAAGCATGTTATACCCTTCAAGCTCTCATTTTCAGTAATGCAAAAAAGGGGTGAATTCAGCAGTCTAGGATTTGTATACTAGGTGTAAGCAGGCATTGCTGTGCTTACTTGACAAATCCTACTGACCCGTTATCTCTTCTCCTACTTGATCAATGTGCTATTTGTAGACTAAAAAAGGGAAGAAAAATAAAGTTCACAGACAAACCCCCATCCAGTTCAGAAATATGACTGTCCCAACTCGGTCACTTCGCTTGGACCAACACTGCATCAGGGATCCGCTGTCTACTTTCGGCTCATTAAGGGTGAAATGTGTGGCACATGGTATTTACTCAATAATGGTGGTACTCTTAAAAATGAGATTCTAATGATGACCAAACTCATGTTTTCAGATTTTACAGGCTCTGAAAAACTGCTCCCTAAATGTCAGGGTTGTTGAAGTCTTTAGGCCAACCTCTTGCTGACTGATGGTCATCCCAGCAGCTGGAGGCATTAAGACCCTGAGTTGGCTTTGATTTTAAAGTTTCCAATTTAACACCTGAAAGAAAATATGAAGTGCTTGACAGCCTGTTCCTCAGATTGACTGATTCTCATAAATTCCATCCACCCAAAGTACCTGGCATGCTTCATATTTCTGGAGGGGAAGAGCTGTAGGGGCCAGATTCATTTTTCAGTTGAGCAAGATTATTAAAGAAGCTTAGGACACAATAAAAGGTCTTGTAAAAATCCGCATTCTGTGGACAGCTGAGATCCAGAAACCCGAAAAGACAAGCATTTTTAAGAATTTATATTTGGTGTTAAAAAACATGGAAAACGTATAGCTATAGTTCCTAGATCTTTGAAATTCCTATGGGGGAAATGTTTAGCTTAGTGACATTAAAAAAAAAAATCACCTGTGCTAGTTTTTGGTTTACTGATTCTCCACAGAAAACTTTTAAATTTGGATATATTGGTTCACTATAACAAATAAAAAAGTCATCAAATGAAATTTTTCTGTAGTAAACTATATGGAACTGTCTACATAATAATAATTATTATTATTTGCCTTGGAATATTCTTTTCTTGAAACTAAGTAGGCCACTAGAATTTTTTCTTAATTCAGAGCTTTTCATTTTTCAGTGTGCCTCACTTACAAAAAAGGTCATTCCTTAAAAATGAAACATACCAAGGAGGCTCCGTGTTTGCTACTATGCTATCACTTACATAGGTGTTTCCTAAATGAGCACTTTCAGTGGGGGCCTTTGAAAAGAACATTCTGTGAGCTTCAGTCCATTCATTATTCTCATTACTCTTGTCCCTCTGTGACTTGATGGTGGTTTCTTTTCAAAAACCTACCAGCAATGTGCAGCCACTTCACTCTCAGCTGTACGGGTAGGTCCCGGTGACCTGACCAAAGTGTGAAGGTGCAGACAGGCCCAGCTGGTGCTGCTGAGCTCTGGGCCCACGTCAGAAGGCCTTAGAAGCTAGCCAGCCCTCTCTCTGCTCTGTAGCAGATGGACTCATAGTTACGAGGTGAGCTGGTGATTACAGACATTCTGGAGGGGCTTTCTGGAGGCAAAGGCAGGAGACAGAACTTGCCAAGAGGTGGGGGCTAACTTTAAGACCTTCTACTATCCTTACCTGCCTTGCTGGCTCTTTTAAAAGCTAAGTCTAATAATGACTCAAAAGAATAATTATCACAACTACTCATGGTGTTGCTGTTGCCACAGGAAGAGGAGGGTCTGTAGGTGTTACCCACCTTGGGTATTACCACTCTGGGAGCACCATTATCCAGAAAGTTTCTATCTGCCTTCCCACTCCCCTTCTGCCTGTCACCAGCTAACAGAGGTGTGCTTGGGAATAACAGACTTCTTAATAGGCACCCTAGCAAGACGGAAACAGGCGGACAGATCTGTAGCTGCCTAGTACGTCCCAAAGGCAAAAGCCAAATGGCTTAAGGATTATGTCAGGTCCCCGTTAGGCCAATTAACAGGTGGTAAGATCTGCACATGTATAAACAGACTTGTATTTAGTGTATAGCACAGCTTTCTAGAAAGAATCTATCTTATTTCTTCTTTTGAAGACCTTTATTTCTTTAGGAAAATACAGCACTAGGAGGCAATTGGATTAATTAATAAAACAAAAGACTGTGATAAAACCAATGAAGAGTAAAGTTGTAATTTCAATACTAAACACTTTCAGAGAGCTTCAAAACTTAGAATGAAATTAAATCCCAACTTTAAAAACCACAATGAAGTTAAAAATAACATCTAAGAGCGATCCAGAGGCAGCAGTAGGAATGTACACCATGACCTGAATTTTAAGTAGGATGTGTTGTAATATTTAATTTCTGGCAAACACTGTTTTGTGGTCTTAGTCTAACTTACCAACCTGATCCCCTAAGTACCTAGCAGAGTGTGAGAAGAGAGTCACCACCAGAAGCTGACGCACCCTGAGGTTTTTGGTGATGGGAGCCAGGGAAGCTGCACTGATCTGAGGCTTATATAAAGCTTTACCATGGCCCTTTGGTATCTGTTATCTTTCCTTAAAGGAGAAAGTCAAATCTTTATTGTAGCCCAGAACAATATTCCTAAGGCTGGCCTCCAAAGATTGTGGCACTGCTTCTGATGTTGTGCTGCTGAAACAAGACACTCTTTGAAATCCGTTAGCATCTCCTTTTGTAACAGGGTCCAGAGAAAATTACACTTCCTGTGTCTCTACTGTTATAAAAGAACTCCTCTTTCATTAGTCTGGTACAGGAATTTCCTGTAAGATTAAAATGAAATAAGCATACATGCACACACCCAGATATAACCAGGAAGTAAAGCAAAGAAAAGCACTTTAAAAAAATTCTAACCTAGGTTTGATTAAAAAAAAAAAAAGTACAGTAAAAAGGAAAAAAATACCTTTGCAAATATAGTCTTGACATAAATGGGCAGGTCTCCATGGGGACTTCCATAACCCCCTACAATACTAAACCCCAAGCCTTCAGAGCCTTTCTCCAAAGAAATAATCTTAGGTGGAGGTGTTCTGAAAACACAATGCATGCTGTGTAAGTCATTGAGAGGGAATTTCATTTTAATGGAAGAACACAGAATTGAGAGAGACTTTCATACTGCGAAACTGTGAAGGTCCCTTTATCAAATTGAACTCTCAGAGAGTAATCTAGAAGCTTATTTTTAAATTTCCCACACCTTGCTGGGCTAAGGACAAATATTCTTGATGTTTGAGGGGTTTCTCTTTCATAAAAATCATTGTTTTTTAATTAAAAATAAAGTCACGATGCTGAACTTGCCAAAGCACCCTTTCTCATGCTTTCTTTGTTTTGAACTCTTAAACTTACTGTTTAAAGCTGAATGAAACTGTCTTTACATCCTTGAAGGATGTGCATGGAGACAGACGGCAGGGGTATCACCTCAGCCTGGCGGCCGACCAGCCAGTTTACGGGTGGACTTCTGTCCAGAACAGGTGAGCTCAGCAGACTGTGGTGCCTTTTATGCCGCAACACCTCAGCGCCCCGGCTCCGGCTCCACCTCCCCTTGGGGATGCATGCGGCAAAGCCCACCTCTGAGGTAACGCTACCCTGACTCCCTTGGGAGAGCCAGCCCCATCCTTTCCTGCGTGCCCCCTTGCACTTGGTTCAGATTTCCGTCACGGCACCTGTCATCTGGTATTGTGAGTACACAACCATCTCTCTCCTCTATCAGACGATGCACTCCTTAGATCTTAGTCATCGGGTATTCCCAGCACTATACACTGTGCTTCTCACAAACTCAGGATCATGACTGTGCGCGTGAGAACTGAAATCCAGGAAAGAAGAGAGAAACCAAGGTGAAGCAAAATGTCTAGTTTAGATTTTCAAAGCTTCGTACAGTGTGGAAGTCTTTTCTCTCAGAAACAACATGTCTAAAATTTAAATAACCTGTGTAGGTTCTGATAGCTTAATCTAAGCTTAGCTACTGCCAATTTCTTATTCCCGAATGCCTTTGTCCAAAGGCAGGAAGACCTAGGGAGCCCTGGCACTCCAGGCTCTGCTGTCCTTACTTGTAGGTGGGAGTTCCCACCTGCACATTCTATTGGCAGCGTCACCTGTCTGGCGGCGGCATTCATGTCTGGGGGTAGAGCTGTCCGACATAAACTCAGCCACTCATATATTTAGAGAAATTCGCAAAACTGGGATACAAGCAACCTTTGAATATGCTTTTCTGACTAGAATATTCTTCCCTCTCCCCCTCCTCCATTTTGCCTGGCTTATTTTAGGGCTGATTTTCCGCCGGCTCACACGATAGTTGTTGTTTGGTGAGGTCCTCACTGGCTGTACACAGCGGGCAGCCATGCACTACTGATACCCATACGCCATGTGAGCTGTTAACTCTTGTAAATGACACTCTGGCTTATTTTGATTCTTTAAAAAACAGTTTTAAGCATTAGTGTCTCCAAGTACACTCCCTGAGTTATGCCCCCTTTCCATGGTTTTACAGAACCTGAGTTTACTTCTCCCTCTCATGGAACTTAGCTCTCCTATACTTACCAGCCAAAGATTTATGGGTCTGTTTTTCTAATTCTCTGGCAATTTCCTTGAAGACTGGGGCAATGCCTTCACCTATCTTTCTAAGTTGGAATCCTCAGAACCCAGCACTAGTACAGTGACTGGCCTTAGAAGGTACTCAAATATCTGCTGAAATAGTGATGAATTGTCCCCTATAACTGAACGTAATGACGTCATGAATAAAGCTCTATCTTTCACCACTTCATGGCCTTCTAAGTACTCTCAGTAATGGCTAGACATGAAATTGATTCATTTTTCCTCTTTCAAACACAGTCCCCATTTCCAAGGACACTGAAATGGGAACTAGAAGTCCAAAGTCCTTGTTCCAGAGCCAGCCCCTGGGGCCACCAAATCATTAGAGAGCTGCATAATCGAAGCTGGGCAATACTTTCAAATTCTGTCACTTCACAGTTAGGGACCTATTTTCAGGGTGACAGCAGAAGTGAACCTCCACTCCTTGGCTGGCAACATCAGGTGGAGCTGCTTCCATTATCTCACGTTTTTAATTGCTTTTAATTTACTTTCATTTAGAAGACTAGTAAAAAAACTAAAAAACCTAAACTCCAAATGTTAACACTGGTTGGATTATAATTGATTTTTAAATTCTCTTGTGCTGGTGGTTCCCAACCTGCTAGGAGCTGTGGAATTAAGGAGAGGAACCAGGATTATAAGGGGACCTCTGTATTTCTGAAGCACACTGGAGGATGCTAAAAGTGCACTACTCTTCCAATGAGGGTTCTGATATTTTTTTTAAAGGAAAGGGCCAGTGTAATTTGAAAATATTATACTTTTATACATTTATCCTATTTTAATAGGATTCATTTCTTTCATAATGAGAAAAGAGTAAAGTGAGCTTAGTTTAACATTCTTTCCTCAAGAAAAAACAAGCTCAAAGATGTTCATTTAAGTTGGCGAACTCCCAGGAAAAGGCTGGGAATGGCCGTGATCATGAGATCCTTCCAACGAACTTTCACATCAGTCAACAAATGTTCATTGAGCACCCACAGTGACCAGGCAATTGGTGGTACCAAGAGGAGTTAAGGTTAGGTAACATTTCTCAAAGTATGGATCTTGGGCCTATCTGAGACACAAGTTCCCTGGGAATCCACTGCATATCAGCTAGTCAGGAGCTCTGAGAATGGGGCCAGGGGAATTAGCATTTTAAAATAGCCCCTTAGATTACTCTTATGCACATTCCAATTTGAGGACTACTGCTTTAACGAGCAACCTTCACTGCAATGACTGGCTTTAATGAGGAAGGCAAGCAAGTATACCAGTAAAATTTCATCTCAAAACAATGTTTTAGCTTAGAAAATGAAGGAAACATAGTTCCTTACATAATAAATCAGGGTGCACCTGGGCTATAAATCTGTGTGTTCTTAGGGGAGAAGTCACAGGCAGCATGTCAAAGTGACCAGACGGAGTCTTTGTGCAGGCTCTGTGTCAGGGGTCTGGTAAGAACACATGTGGTAGAACAAAGTCTGGTGAGCAATAAGGAAACCCGGGGACTTGCCTGGGGATTCTCTAGGAATTATACAGGGAAATGTGCACTTGCCCCCTCCTCTTCTTCAGAGTACACTCTAGAATCTGGAAAAGGTCTCGCTGAGCTCTCCCCACACACATAATAGGTACTCTGTATCTAGAATACTTACTCCGTGTCTTTAGGATGGTGTTCAGCAGTGGGCGAACCAAGGTGGTAGCCTGTGGACATGTTCTCCAGTTGAGTTGCTATGGCGCTTATATTGGTGTCTGCTACAACCTGGGGGAAAAGTCCGAACAAGATGATCTGTTATTAGTGTGGGAGAATTACAGAAACCATGCTATATGCAATAGTCAGTTGTCAGTCCTTGCCTAAGTCAATCTCTCTGCAGCATTTGACACAATGAATTATTCTCTCAAACTATTGCTCATTTGGCTTCCATGACACCATGCTAGTTTCCTTTCTCTGTTCTGGCCACTCCTTCGCATCTCCTAAACCTCTATCAGAGTGCCAGAGGACTCCAGCCTTGAGCTACTTCTCTTTCCCAATATCCCCTTAGTTATCTCATCTCATGAATTTAAATACCATCTCTATAATGATAATTCCTGAATCTGTATCTCCAGTACCACCCCTTAACTCTAGATCTATACATCTAGTCGCCAATTTGGCATCACTAATGGGATGTCCAGCAGCATCTCAACCTAACATGTCCAACCTTGACCCTCACCCCCTCCAACCTCTGCTCCTGTTGCCTACCTCATCTCAGGAAATCACTTCATCCTTCTAGTTTAAACAAACACCCTGGTGTCATCCTTGACTACTCTTTCTCTCACAACCCACTTTCAATCCTGGTCTTGCTACAAAATCATCTCTTGCCTGGAGTTTTACAATAGCTTCCTCACTGGTCTCCCTGCTCCAGCACCTGCTCCACTCACTTTATAGCCTCTAGACCCTGTTCTGTTACCAGTGGATTACCTCAACCTCTGCTTAAAACCACCCAAAGGAAACTCAGTTCCCTTGGATTACACCTGTAAGTCCTCGCTATGAACTACCAGGTCATCTGTAGGTGATCTGCCCAGTTATGTCTCTGACTCCAGCTCCTAAAATTCTGCTCTGATCACTCTGTTCCAGCCATGTCGGCCTCCTTGCTGTTCCACTAACATGCCAGAGACATCTCCACCTCAGCGCTTTGCAAGGGCATTGCTTTCTGTTGGGAAAGCCCTGCATTCAGTGTCTGCACAACTATGTCTCATGTCTTTACTCTGAACTACCTTTCCTGGACACTCTAAAACATCCCTGCCAACCATGCTATATCCTCCTCCTCTGCTTTACATTTCCATTTTATCACCATTACTATGTAATGAACTATGTATTTTACCTTGTTTATTTTATTTATTGTTTGTCACTTCATATGAGAATGTGAGAGCAGGAAACTTGTCTATTTTACTCACAACTGTATCCCCATTACATAGAACGGTGCCTGACATAGTTGGTATTCAATTAGTATTTGGTAAATGAATGAATGAATGAATAAATAGTTCCTACTCCCTGTTATTTGCCTTTTAGGTAGTTTCAAACAAAAGTGTAGCAGAATGACATTTAGACATGCACTTTATATTTGTAATCTGCAAGCATCATCCCACAGTGTCCAGAGAAAGGTGGTATAGCTCTGATAGCCCATACGGTACACAGTGCAGTTCTAGGCTTCAGTTTCTGTCACTCAAACGATGCTGTGCCTCTGTTTAAGCTTCCTCAAATGTTGAAAAGGAATCATAGAAGCCTGTCTTGTCTGCTTAGCTTGGAGCTACCTTCCACCTCAACTAGCTTTCACAGCTTCTTTCTCAAGAGCTCCTGGGCTAAGCCTGCTGACCAACGGTTCTTCCTCTAAATTGCAGTACTCGGCACCGGAGGGCAGGGTGAAGGGACTTAACGTAGGGGGCACGGCACAGGTGCTGGCTTGGCTGCAGTTTCAGAATTAGCCAACAGAGGGCGCAGCGGCCTAAATCGCTAAACAGGTGCACCAGTTTAATAAGAGTATTAATATTAAGCAAATAAAGAAAAGCATTAAGCCGGCCCTGGCTGGCACATTTTGGGTGAAGCGTCCTATTCTGGGGAAAACATTGTTATGCACAAGTTATAGGAGTTCTGGAAGGAAATATCATCATATAAAAAATTACTGAATGAATTGGGAGAATGTTCAATATAAGAGACAAGGAAGATAGAGGATATGAAGGGACAGTTCTCCAAAGAAGAAATTCAGATGGCCAACAGACACATGAATAGATGCTCCACATCGCTAATCATCAGGGAAATGAAAATTAAAACCACAATGAGATTATCACTTCACACCAGTAAGGATGGCCAACATCCAAAAGACTAAGAACAACAAATGCTGGCGAGGATGCGGAGAAAGGTGAACCCTCCTACACTGCTGGTGGGAATGTAAATTAGTTCAACCATTGTGGAAAGCAATATGGTGGTTCCTCAAAAAACTAAAAATAGAAATACAATTTGACCAAGGAATCCCACTCCTTGGAATTTACCCAAAGAATACAACTTCTCAGTTTCAAAAAGACATATGCACCCCTATGTTTATTGCAGCACTTTTTACAATAGCCAAGATATGGAAGCAACCTAAGTGTCCATCAGTAGATGAAGGGATAAAGAAGAGGTGGTACATATGCACAATGGAATACTATTCAGCCATAAGAAAGAAAGAAATCCTACCATTTGCAACAACATGGATGGAGCTGGAGGATATTATGCTCAGTGAAATAAGCCAGGTGGAGAAAGATAAGTACCAAATGATTTCCTTCATTTGTGGAGTATAACAATGAAGCACAACTGAAGGAACAAAAACAGCAGCAGACTCACAGACTCCAAGAAGGAACTAGAGGTTACCAAAGGGGAGGGGTGTGGGAGGGCAGGTGGGGAGGGAGGGAGAAGGGGATTGAGGGGTATTGTGTTTACTACACATGGTGTGGGGGGATCACGGGGAAGACAGTGTAGCACAGAGAAGGCAAACAGTGAATTTGTGGCATCTTACTACACTGATGGACAGTGACTGCATTGGGATATGGGTGGGGACTTGATAATATGGGTCAATGTAGTAACCACATTGTTTTTTCATGTGAAACCTTCGTAAGAGTGTATGTCAATAACTTAATAAAAAATTAAAACAAAAGAGACAAGGAAGAAATGATTCTCCCTGACTGTAAGAGCCCCTCCTCTTACCACCAGCCCTTTTTACACTCCCACATGGCAAGTGTATTGGAGAAGCATATGACCTCTACATCTTACCTACTCATAGCCTACGTCATATTCATGAACCTATTCCATTCCAGCTTCCAACCCTATCACATGGCCCAAACTTCCATGACCCATACCTTCTGCCTTTTCTCCTACTGCTGGGGCCTACTTCCCATCTCTTTGCTCTTCTACTCCTTGCAGCTCAGTTCTGGGCCCACTTCCCACCTAGACTCAGGTGACAGCACATATATTCCCATAGCTCTAAATGGTAATGATGGGCTGACAATTCCCAGCCAAGTCTGTTATATCCCATTGCCAACTTAACATCTGCATTTTACTATCTCAAAGGCTTATGAAAACAAAACCACATCCAAACTCTTGATCCAACAACCAAATCCCTTCATTTTTCCTCCTCTTAGAAGATGGCACCTCTACCTGCCTAACTTGAAATCAATTGGATGTAATATTGAAAATACCCAACTGCTGTCTGGTGACTGTCCAACTGGAAAGGATGCTAGGATGCTAACCATACAGGGGCTTACTCTCAGTACCAGCCTCATACTGCCACCTCTCCCCTGCCATATGTAACCTACCGCCAAGTCTTCTGTGTTCTACCTCCACAACACTTCTCAAATCTGTTACTTTTCATCTCTAAGGTGAGCTCCGAATTCAATCCATCATCAGCTGCCTTTTAACTGGAATCCCCACACATCATCTTCCCATCTTTCCTGCAGACAATAGCCAGTCATCAATTCAAATATAAAGTGGATAACGACATCCCCTGTTTAAAACCTTTCAATGGTCTTTGTACTTGGAATAAAATTCCGACTCCCTGGTTATATACACAAAGGTCCCCCCCTAGCCTGACCCTCTAATCCCATCTGGGTCCTTTCACTCACCCCAGGCTCTACTGTTCTGCCTGGCCCTCCTTCCCTCCCACTCTCCTCCACTAACCCCTGCTTGGCCTGGTGTCAGCTTAAAAGTTACTTCCCTCATACAAGACTTCTTTACTACCTATGCTTAAATTAATTTCAATTTTTTTCCTGTTTTCATTACCTGTCCCCTCCTCCATCACACCTGAGGGCCTGGAGACCTGCCAGATATCCTCCTTCCCACTCACCCTTCAAAACCATTGACCTGATTCAAAACCTGTGAGTCTTTCATGCTTATGTCCCTCCTTACTGTTGCCCATAGTGCTGCTATGGACATCTGGAGAGTGGTTCTTCACGGTAGATAACTAGATATGGAATTGCTGGGTGATAGGTATGGTATGAACATATCCCATTTTAAGAAGGAAAGGCATATAGAAAAGCTACCTTATTCCATCCCTGGTGTTTGGTGAAACTTAATTCAAGTAGAAAGCACATGGGCTTAGAAAGTTTTTATTTATAATCTAGTGCCACTGATTCTATAGTGACATCAGAATACATTGATCTGAATGTATCTGTTTTGAAAACACAATGATTTGAAGTGTCTAAATGTTTTAAGTTTGGAGTAAAATAAGCAGGGGCAGGAAGCGGAAGCGTGGGAGGTCAGAGCAGCGACCAATAGCGCGGGCATATCCAAATTAATAGATCTTCCTAAGCTGCCAAGTGGCTGTAACTGTTTAAACCCTCACCAGGCATTTAATGAAAGTAGTTTGTTTCCTCACATCCTTCCCAGCCTTACTGTGAACAGACATTCAGTGAGTGCCTACATGAGGAGAGCGAGGCCGCTGGTCTGAAGGAAGAGGAGTGTGGGGAAGCTGGGGGTCCTACGGTCAGTATCCTCACTGAACTTAAACCACCTGATGCTGCTAGGCTACCGCTTCCACACCTTTAGGCAATAAGCTATTATTGCACTATATAGAGAGCCCCGCCCAGTGCTCTGGGAGGAGGCAGAGCGCGGGCGGTGCGAGCCCTAGACAGCTGTCCTGGAGGAGCATAGCGAGCTGTGCTGGGTGGAAAGCCCCAGGTCACCAACCCGCGAACCGATTTTCAGTGGAAACTGCGTATGGCTGTGAGCTGGACCAGTGGCAGATCACTTAAGTA